GTGCCATAAACGCGGCCACAAGGAAGAATTTTGCTATCAGTTCCGGCCAAGAAACATAAAACAGTCCTACCAAAGGAAAAACTTCCAAAAGCCTGACGCAGAATCACTATCGGTGATTGCCGCTTTTCCCAGCGATTCTAGACTGCGCCGCCGATTTTTCACTGTACTCATCAACGGGATCCCAACCAGGCTGCAGTTCTATACGGCCTCAGATATAACGATCATTTCCAAGAACACCTGAAATCACAAAAAGGCCGAAGAGGGTTGATTCCAACACAGTCGCCCACGATGCATCCGGTTGAGTGCTGAAGCTGCTCGGAGAAATAACCTGCAAAATTGTATCCAACGGAGTAGAACAGATCGGAACCTGTTACTTGTTGGACCGACCAAACTTGAACCTCCTTAGACTTGACTGGACGGAAAAGTTGCAACTGTTTGACCTTCCAATGAATCAGATTTGCAATGGAGTCCAAACAGATCCAGTCCATGCATCGTTATCGATAAAGGACATGGCGAGAAAGCCAAAGCCGAATTTTTCCTCCTTGTTTGAAGATGGTCTTGGTCACTGCACTAAGTTCAAAGCAAAGTTTTGCCTTCGAGAAGGAACCAACCCAGTCTTCAGAGCGAAAAGACCGGTACCATATGCAGCCATAGCAGCAGTTGATCAGGAGCTCGACCGACTGGAGCGCACCGGTGTCATCACACTAGGGAACTAGTCTTCATGAGCTACATCTATTGTTCCTGTGAGAAAGCCGAACGGTCAAGTGATTGTCTGCGCCGGTTTTTCAACTGGCCTGAACGCCTTTCTGGATGACCATCAGTACCCCCTTCCGATACCAGAGGATATTTCTTCTAAGCTGAGTGGTGGGAAGTGTTTCGTCAAGCTCAACTTGTCCGATGCCTACCTCCAGGTGGATGTTGATATAGGCTCGGGAGAATTACTGACCATCAACACACATCGCGACTTGTACCAATACTACCGCCTCCCTTTTGGGTTGAAAACAGCACCAGTCATCCTCCAGCACCTGATGGACACCGTGCTCGCTGAAGTTACTGGAGCCGCTGCGTACCTGGATGATCTCATTTTAATGGGCCGTACGACAGAAGAACTATTTGAGCGTCTCGCTGAAGTGTTTGAACGCATCCAGTCATGTAGATTCCGAATCCCTGAAGACAAGTGTACGTTTTTACCCCCACCATCAAGTTCCTCGGCTTCGTTTTCGCAAAAGACGGTCATCGCCTGGATCCAGCAAATATCCGAGCTATACCAAAGATGCCTCTGTCTGCAGACCTGCAATCACTGCGTTCATTCTGTGACCTAATTAGTTATTACTGCGCTTTTCTGCACGAACTACATCGCCTGTGTGTCCCGATGAACAAGTTGCTGAGTAAGGGCCAAACTTGGAATTGGGCGCCAGACTACATTCGAGCGAGTCAACTCATTGCTGGCTTCAGACCTCTCCTGATTCACTTTGACCCGTCCCGAGAAATTATCCTCATCACGGACACATCAGGTCTAGGGATCGATGCCGTAGTTTCCCAGGTGGATCTTAGAAGGCAATTACACATGCCGCCCGGACACTGTCGAAAGACGAAAGAAAATACAAGCAGATCGAGGAGACATTGGCGCTAGTGTTTGCTGTGAAGAAATTTCGCAACATGCTATATGGTTGTCACTTCAAGCTCTTGATAGATCACAAGCAGCTGCTGGCCGTTTTCGGCTCGAGAAAGGGCATTCCTGCCTACACAGCCAATTGACTCCAACCATGGGCACTCACCTTGCTGGGCAGTGACTTTGAGATCCGTTATGAGTCAACGCTTTCTATGGGCCAGGCAGTTGCGTTGTCACGCCTCCTCGATGCCAGACAGCAAGAGCACGAGGATACCATCATAGCCCCAGTTGAGGTCGAATCTGTTGTCAACTTCCTGGTGAGCGAGGCATTTCATGGTTTGCCAGTTACGACATAATCTCTGCGGGCCGGAATGCTTCGAAATCCAATCCTGAAGAGGGTTACACACTTCCGCAGAATCAGCTGGCCACGTTCGTGCTCCTCTGCCGAAATACGGCAATTCTGTCAGCGAAGACATTCGGTATTCATTGCGAACGATTGTATCATGTTTTCGGATAGAGTTGTCATCCCGCAGCTTCTGCAAGAGTGTTGCGGCGGTTCCATGCAGGACATCCAGGGCTCAAACGAATAAAAGCGCTTGCCCTAAGTTATGTGTATTAACCGTTTACAGATAGGCAACTGGAGCAGCTAGCTAGAAGTTGCAACCACTGCGCTACCGCTTTAAGGACACCACCGAAGATTGAACTCTATTCATGGCCAAAACCAGCGAAACCTTGGAGCCGTGTTCATGTCGATTTTGCTGGCCCAGTCAACGGCCAGAACTTTCTCATAGTGGTTGATGCTTACAGCAAGTGGCCCAAAGTTTTCCACATGAGCAGCATGAAAACCAGCGCAACCGTGTCTAGGTTGCGACAAATCTTCAGCAGGCTCGGCTGCTCTGAAACATTGGTAACGGACAATGGAGCACAGTTTACTTCTGCCGCATTCACGGAGTCCTGCAAACGCTGTGCGCTCTCTACCATTCCACCCACAATGGAATGACCAAGCGGAGAGATTTTTAAATACATTCAAACGCGCTCTCCTCAAATCGATGAGGTAGACATAGCGGCGGTGATCGACCGGTCCCTCTTTCTGTACCGATCTACACAATATCCACAAACGCCGAATGGAATATCACCAGCAGAGACAATAATAACGAGAAAGCTCCGCATGCCCTTTGCAGTTCTACCATCCTCAGAGCCAACAGCTGGTAAAAGGAACCTCAAGATGAAACGTGATTTCAATCGGCGGTATGGTGCCAAGCGACGTTCGTTTAAACCGGGTCAGTCAGTACTTGTACGTGATTACCGGGAAGGACACACAAAATGGACGCCAGGCACGATCAAGGACAAACGCGGGAACATCATTTACGACGTCCTGGTTGGAAAGCAGGTATGGGTACGCCATGCAAACCAGCTGCAACCAACACTGTGTCAGCCACAAGCAACGGAATCTACCGAGCTTCCATTTGACTTGTTGACGAACAGCTTCAATTTGCCAAAAGAGCCCATGGAAGAACCCTGTCAGCGGAACCACGATACCAGACCGCAGAGCACGGAACTCGAATCCAGAACACTACATCCAAGACGATGGACCTATAGGCTTAGACCACAGTGCAGGAGGCTTCAAGTCGACCCCAGGCTATCATCATACACCGCGGCGGCCGTCTCAGGAGGGGAGGTATCCGGGACAAGGCAAAAACATCGAGAAAAACTCGTTATTTCAGCAATTCATCGATTAACTTCGATTGTGCATTAATTTCGGTTTCTGGTGCCTTCCATTCCCTCACGTGATTGACTAGGAAGCTGCTATTTTTACCATCTGACCTTCGTTTTATGGAAGCCGAAGACCATTGAGCTACCTATATATTTGACGTTTTGGCTACGTTTGGTGGCGTTTTTGTTAACACCTTTTCGCGGTGAGGCTCGTTTGACTTCTAATTTTTCTTCGATTGGGCTAGGATTGTTGCGGAGAATTTTTGGTGTTTAATTCGGAATAACGAGAGTACTTGAAGATCTAACATGTATGTTAATTAGGTTGTCTCTGGTCCTGTTCGCATGAGCTGTGGGGTTCCACATGCCTGCGTGCTTGGTCCCAGACTTTTCAAAATCTTCATCAGCGATCTCCCAGATGTGCTTCAAGTTGACTGCCTGATCTACGCAGGTGATCTCAAACTGTGCTCGGAAGTATCCAGGCTTGAAGATACTGACAAGCTGCAAATGACACTCGATCTGCTGCACGATTGCTCTGTCAAGTGGCAACTACCTGTCAATCGTGGTAAGTGCTATGTTCTCCCGATCAGCGCTCCAGAACCTTTCGGCGCCTACCACATTGGTATTTTTCTGCGGAATAATGCCGCTTCTGAGAAGGATGGTGTAATTGCATCACCAATCCTAAAAACTACCCAAGTCACGTTGTGGAAGGTAGCCTCTGCCAACATGATACATTGTGCCGTACAAGGGTCATTCTCCAAAATGACACTTTAGATCTTCTGACTCCTGTTTTCATCCTGCGTCCGTTCAATACTGGAATATGGGTTGCCTGCCATCCACCTTCTCAAGAACTTTGAATGTGATTTAATCGAGAAGCTTCAGATGCGCGGACCCAAGTCTGTCGATGCTACGTGTTTTATTTTCTCCCCTTCGTCTTCAGCGTATAACTTGTTTTCTCTTAACTATCTTCATCCCCGTGGGGATCTGATTTAAACTAGACGCATTCCAAGGTGAGATTTAGGGAACGTGCAGTATTTCTGCTAGCTCAATGTAACCTACCCCACACGGTGCCACAGTTGGAAACATTTTAAACCACGGAGGCACCATTTCCGGTCCGCTGTCGCATTATCCATTCGGGTTGTGAATGAATGGAACAATCTCCCTAAATGCGTGGTAAGTGCCAAGTCAGAGGAATGTCTCAAATAGTGCTTGGACAAACATATGCTGAGCAAACCTGGATTTCGTTGTTTTTGCTACAGCTGTAACAATCTCTCGTGGTACACAATTTAGCAACGACACGTGTCCCCCAGCTAAGGATCGGGATATGATATAGTTGTCACGGGTTTTCCTTTTTGCTATCTACAACTATGAACTGTATGAACATCCAAGAAGTACCGGTGCAGTCTTTTGGCTTCAGTACCGCGTTCTTAGGATAGGGGCATCGATTCTCGCTGAGTATGGCCGGCATTTACATATGTTAATGCGGTGCTGGAATCTTCTTCTAGGTGACCGGAATTTCTCCCTGGGACGGCTAAGCGCACAGAAAGTGGCCACTCCGGGTGCTCCAGCGGACTTCTTTCGGACACTCGTGTTATGCGGTTTTTCTATCCAGCTCTGTCTCTGTGTGATTGTGATGAGACTATCCAACCTGCTACGAAATATTTGTTTTGCATTTCAGCCCATTCAGTCTATTAAGACCCACGCACGCCCTGGACACAGAAGCCTTCGCAGCCCCTGACTGGACGCGTACTACACCCTCCTCTGCTAGTATAGTATTCTGATCATCATGGGACAGCCTGTCGGCGTGGTTTCAAAATATGAAGACAAAGCTCCGGCAGACTCCATATGGGATTGCTATTCAGTTAGTACCATGCTTCACTCTATTCGTTCCATCTAGAAAGGATTAGAGATTCTTGCGAACGGCCGTGTTAGCTCTATCTCTGTCAGCGGCACTTATCCTTACAACTACGCTATTCCTAATGGTCAAAAAGTAATCACTACTTATGAGACTTAATTTCAGGTTCATATTTTTAGATGTAGTAATGACAAACTTTGTAGGCGGTTGAAAGGATTCGACTCTCGAGTTTCTTGCTGTGGCTTCAGAGGCGACGGAAAGCTTATCGCTGTCGGAGAAGAAAGTGGTTTCTTACGGATTTGTTCAACTGACAAGAATGGGTTTCATCTAAGGAAACTTCAGGCTCACAAAGGGTAAGATGTCTAATCTCTTCTAGTTCCAGTTCGGTTAATTCTGCCCACTTTTTCCCTGGTGGTCTTCGCGCTGCTAGCATTGGCTCCGATGGCGTCGTTTGCGTTTGGGACGTCGCACTTGGAACTAGGATTAATCGTTATTGCTCGGCTCGGACAAATGAGAGTGGGAAAACTCTGATTCCATGTCGAACAGATGAGAACATCCTTTTCTGTGCGGACTTGGCCGGCCACGTTTTCGTATACGACGTCCGCGAGGTTTGTTGACTCCACTATTTTCACCTGTGTCTACCTTTTTGTAACTAATTTTTTGCTTGGTTCTGTTTAACATTGGGAAACATATGCCCTCGGTAAACAGTTTTATCGTAAAGACGTAAGTTTTTGTGGAGCTAACACGCTGCGAGACAGTCCTATCCTTGGATGACGTAATGATTTGGGGTGGGGTCTGCCAGTTCGACTTTTCTAATTCCATTGCCAGACCAGTTCGATCCGTGTATTACTCAGGGCATGATACTGTTTTAGCGTAATTTTTTAAAATCAAATTCTGATTCTGAATTTGCGTACCGTGTACAGGACCTACTGTGCATTTTATTGTATAGTTTCCCAATTATTCTTGCATCAGTCGATCATTTGCTCATCATATTTGATACGTTATTTTCAGTGAGGACGCGAAATCCCCGTTGGTACTTCTTACAGACTTCTCGGACATAGAGCTGATTCTTTCACATGTGTGAATTTTCACATTTCATGCATTGGTCTATCCACTGAACAAGTTTAGCTTCTTCGCGGGATTCAGCACGATTTTGTCCAAATATTTTATGGTAAGGACCAGTCTAAAATGCAGCCGAAAAAGTTAATAAACCGCGTGAGCCAGCAAGATTGATAAAACGTTCCCTAGCGAGTAGCTCGGTGTGTTCATCCCAACACACGGACACGCAGCCATTCCGATGTTTAAATCAGCCCGGTTGCCTGCCGCCTGTAAGCTCTCTGGAACCATGTCCATCCGTAACTAGGGACTCACCCGGTGTGCTTGTGTTCGAGCCTGCGGACACTAACTTTGCCGTATGCAATGGTCAGTGGAAAACGCGGAGAAGGTGAAGAGTGGGAGCAACTATCAGTGAGCAGAAGCATTGCAAAATGATATTTCATGTCCCTAAGTTAACTGATGCGAATTCTCAGATATCCTGTGATCATGATGTCGAGTTTTGCAGGGTTTGACTGATAGACAAAGGTTAAGGAAGGGACGTATCACCTTTCTTGGAAAGAAAGATGAAAAAGTGACTCGGTCTATGCCAATCATTTTTGTTGATGTAGTCTAAACTTGCTATCACCCCGCCTCGGTAGGTTACGGTCCTTCAGACTGGGAAAAACTCAGGTCCACAGGTATTGAGCTAAAGCGGCGAATTGATGATGGGGAAACCAATGTCCCTATCGTTAATTATGCTTAAGTTCCTTCGGGTTCGCCAAATCCGGATAAACAGTTCAATGACGTCTCACGCGCGCCAAACCGTTCCTATCGCCGCCTGCGTGTATCTATGTTTGCAGTTTAATGAACAGACATGACGAGCCGTGCCATCTCGAAAAGTCGCTCCGTAATTCTAGTACAGTCCAACGTGCTATGGGGACTAGTCAAATACGTCCCAAATGTTCTTTCTATATTTTCTCATTGGTCATAAGCTGAGTATCGCGTCCACCTAACGCAAACGCGACCACATTTTTGTGGCCCCCAGACGTTCCAGCACCTGCAAAAAGCGACCACTATATGGTACGACCGACACGTCTCTTCTTGAGATGTCATGTGAGCCTTCCACAATATCAAGCTGGCTTGCCGAACTACCTCGTGGCGCAAACTGGTTGGTTCGGTTGTACCCCGTTCCAGCGAAGTGTTCGCCGACAAGGTTCCACCTCAGTGGGACATTGTAGTCCAGCAATTGTGCTGATTTAAGGGGGTTATTAGGCCCCTGTTTGGTGATCTACCATACGAAAGACGCATAAACTGAACATTCAGTCAGCGCCTCCCAGTGGGCGCGATTCCCTAAATTCGCCCCGCTGCCTTGCGGGTAGGTTATTTAGCCAAGGGATTGGGGTGGAGTCACCTAAGTCAACTCCCTACTTCGGCTTTGGCAACCGGGTAGTATTACGCCCTCTCACAAAACCACGGACTGTACTACAACGAGCTCATCAGCTATGGTTTCTGCTTCTCACATTCACGCGAATTCATCACACCCCAATTGTTTGCTAACAATCCTTACTTTCCGTTACCAGATTCATGTGTTCAACCATCTGGCTGCTATTCCTGTTGCGCCGCGAACCACGGAGTTCAACCTATGGCTCTCCTTCGTCCTCGACCCTCCTTCCGTCTGGTGTACTTCAACTTTCGAACACATGCGCATTGGACAGCAAGCCGGTCTAGCGCGCACCCTAGAGTCCCTAGGCATTGATGTCTGCTGCCTTTCAGAAACCCGATTGCAAGATCCCAGCACTGTGCTTACATTGACATCCCCCACTGACCACGAAGCCAGATATCACCTGCGTCTTTCTGGAGATCCAGAAGTTGCCTCAGTGGGTTTGGCTGGTGTAGGTATAGCACAGAGTGACAAGACCGAGGCGGCACTACTGGAATGGTTCCCGATTAACAGCCGACTATGTGCATTTCGGCTTCGAGGTTCATGTAGAATTAACCAGCACCGCGAAGAGAGACGCAACTTGTTTGTGATCTCCGTGTACGCTGCAACTGACTGCAGTGGCGGCTCTGTCAAGAATGTATTTTACCGGGATCTACATCAGCTCTTGACTAATGCTAAAAAGTGATGTCGTTATCCTTGCTGGGGGTTTTAATGCACGGATTGGCCGCCTGTTGCCATACAAACGCCACCTTATTGGTCACCATTCGCTTGATGAGAACCGCTCTGATAACGGAGAGAGGCCTCTCACATTGTGCGAATACAACCATCTGTTTCTCTCGAGCACTAACCTCAGGCGTACGAAGAAGCGTTCCGCAACGTGGCGTCCTCCTTCTTCAACACATCCGTGGTCTCAAATTGATCACATTTCAATTAGCTTCAGATGGTGTGGCAGCGTACTGGACTGCAGGTCTTTTTAATCCACCTTCGTTCACTCAGTTCATGCACTGGTCTGCGCGAAAATCTGTATGTGTTCTGGAGGGTCCCGAAACACGAAGCACCGCAAGATTAATGTAAACAGATTAACTGATTCCTCTGTCCAATCGAGCATATGCACTCAGTTGCAATCCACCGCAAGACGTGGAGCAACACTGGACTTGGATACGGAAAGCGATGACCATTTCCGGACAGTCAGGCTGCGGCCTAGCTAGACGCCACTTGAAGGCTTGGATCTCTGCTCATTCTCTGGAGCTGTTCGAACGCCGCAGATATCCCTGCTGAATCAGATTGCAACGGGCGGCGCCCTTCTGCCAATCGGCTGCACAAGCAAAATCTACGCAAGGATCGCGAGACATGGTGTTCTGAGCGTGCTTTAGAGATGGAGACCAATGTTCTCTCTGGCAACACTCGCAGGCTTTTCCAACGCATTCGGTCCACTGGCCTCAGGAAGCCTGGTGTCAGTGAAGTCATTTGCGAGGTGGATGAGTCTCCGATCACCAACCAACAGAGGCGTATGGACCGCTGGGCCGAGCACTTTCACTCGCAATTCAACTGGCTTCCACCATCCATTGGTACATGCTGTACACCTTGTTGTCCACCCTGGCTCGTCCCACTGAATCGACCCAGCGACGCGGAAGTCTGCCTCGAGATTCGACGCTTCAAGCGGTTCAGCGCTGCCGGCTCATACGGACTTCCTCCGGAGCTGCTCAAGTATGGCGGTGTGGCGATCATTAACCAGATGACCTCGCTGTTTGTAAAAATCTGGCATGAAGAGAAAGTGCCTTCCTCTTGGGGCGAATCAGTTATCGTCCTGATTTTCAAGAAAGTCGCTCACACCATGTGCAAGTCATCGCCTGATCAGTCTTATTTCGGTCGCCTCCAAGCTATTGGCATCCATTCTGCTTCGCAGACTATCCCCAGTACGTGAGTCATACTACCGTGAAGAACAAGCTGGTTTCCTTCCCGACCGCGGATGCGTGGATCAAATCTTCACGCTCCGCCAGCTCCTCGAACATCGTCACATTTATCACAGTCCCACTATCGTTGCATTCCTGGACATACGTGCCGCATTTGACTCCGTTGATCGACCTGCTTTATGGCGTTGCTTGCTAAAGAATGGGGTGCCAGAGAAATATACAGCCATCTTAGGAGCATTTTACCCTCATACATCCGACAGAGTGAGGGTCTATGGATAGCTTTCCTCACGATTCGCTGTCAATAGTGGTATGCGACAGGGCTGCCCTATGTCCCCATTCCTCTTCAACTTCGCAATCGAAGACGTTCTGTCGAGTGCTCTTAAAGGTCTGCGACATTTTGGCCTAGAGCTTCTACCGAGTGAGTGTGCAACCGACATAGATTATGCTGATGATATCGCCTTATTTGGTGACAATCCTCAGGGTATGCAACTCACTCTGGATCGCTTAGCTGTTGAAGCATCTAACTATGGCATGAACTTCGCCCCATCGAAGTGTAAAGTACCGCTCAAGGATTGGCTCTCACCTGTTCCCGTGCTCACTCTCGAAGCTGCACAACTTGAACAGGTAGATAGTTTCGTCTATCTTGGGAGCTGTGTTTCTGCTGACGGCACTATCAACAAAGAAGTTTCCCTTCTCATCGTTAAAGTTCGATCAGCATTCGTCAGTCTGAGGCACTTGTGGTGTCGTCGCGACGTTTCATCCTCGCTAAAGGACCGCGTTTACAGCGCATCAGTTCGTTCATTGTTGTATGGGAGCGAGTCTTGGCCTATTCGCGTGGAAGACATGCCTCCTCTTTCTGCCTTCGATAACGGCTACTTAAGGAGGGGGCGTCGCAACGAGACTGGACCTTAACGTGGTGCGACGGTTTGCGTACCTCATTAACCCACTGAGCCTCCGGGCACCTTGAGAGCTACTCCTACCAGGTTGGTCAATGGTGAGAGGTCAGACGAACTCAGTCTCCTGGTCCTCCAGGTTGGGGGTTTGAAATGGGATGGCGTCCATTTCTGTAAAACTAAATCATTGCCACCTCCCCGCTGCCTTGCGGACAGGCTTTTGAGCCAAAGGCTTTGGATGAGGACCCTAATCGTCCTCCTGTCTAGGTCTGGGCACCCTGGCAGTACCTCAGCCCACGTACAACCATGACATTTTCTTCAAACAT